AAATATAAGCTCTCAGTCCAAAAGACTTCCTGAGTCCAGATCAAACTGAAAAATAACCTTGTGACAGACCACCCGGTTCTGAGCTGATGGGAATTACTTTCAACCCAGGCCAGCATATCCCTCAGACAAAATGTTCCACATACCAAACCTGACAGCAGCCAGCTCTCATGAGTAGGGGAGCCAAGTGTCGGCTATCATAGATCATATCCACTGTGGCTGTGACAGGCGGTGATGCTCTGGGCCTGCATCATGGTGGGGGCTCCAGAATGGCAGGAAGGAGCTGGCCTAAGTGTCTTTAGTAGCCGTGTCCCTGTGCTATAGGACAGAGAGTCTGCCTGTCATCACAGACAGATGTAGCCTTGGCTTTGGGCGATCATTTTCTGTTTTGAGTGTTCAGTTTGGGGTATAATTGTAGTTCAGTAGGTGCTGTCGGAAGAAAAGAGACAGAGTGTCATGTGGAAAATTGAGGATAAACAGATGATTCCAGGGTTGGAAGAACTGACTCATCCACCCCATCATCTTGTGGGGGAGGACAGTCTCCCGCATGCTCTCTTTTGGGCCATGTTCAGTCTTTATTATTTCTGCAACTCTCAAGTGTTTTTGCCTCACCCTACTAAACACATGTGAAACAGAGCTTTTCCATTGTAACAGCTGCCAAGGAACCACAAAGGTTAGAGCCTTGTCTCTAAATTGGGTGGCCCTAGGCAAGACCCTTAACTCTGCAGAATCTCAGCTTGTGTGTAGAAGATGGGAATGTCAGTATCTGCCTTGTCTCCTTCATCAGTCTGCCATGAAGACACACAGGACTAATAAGTCTGTGCTCTGAGTGAGGGGGAAGGTGGCTGTGCTTTATCATGTCTGATAACATCCTCACCATTGCTCAAGGTTCTTCTGCTCAGATAGAGCCTTCCACAGGCTTCCAGGCACGTCTTCAAATGTTTTCCACTTTCCTCCAGAACTAGGAGGAATAGTTTCCTGGCTTCCAGATCTTGACTCCTTTCCAGCACTGCTTCAGAGCCTACCACTACTTGGTGGGCTGTGTGGATTCAAGTTCTAGCACCAGCGCCTTGTGCACAGCCCCCAGCAGCTGCTTTAGACTTTTCACTCCTGCAGCTCCCAATGCAACCTTGCCTTTTCTCAGCCAATAACTTTGTTTCCATTGCTCAGGGAAGAGAGGCTGAGAATCGGGAAGGCCCTCTGATTCTCTACTCAAAACCTATCCACACTCCACCATCTTTACCTCCCTGCCTCCTGGTACAAAGGCCCTGTCCCATCAATGGCCGTTGTCCCCACTTAGACCTTATTTGCTGCGGCTTCTTTGGGAACCTCCCATCATCATGTACCTCTTCTCGCTTTACTCTTTTCCTTGCTAATACTTCCTTCTCAGTGCACAGAGGGGCTTTGGCCTTGGAATTTGTGTGTGTGGGAATCTTTTGGAGCTTTGGACCTTGAACAGGAGCAGGGGAAAACATTCTGGGTGAGGATAAAAATGGGGGCATATGTGGCCCTTAGGGACAGCTTCAAAGATAGGGTTTTGAAGATTATGTGCAAGTTGCAAGGGTGTTGCTGAAGATTGAAAGGGTTCTTGGATTGCCCAAACTGCTACCTTTCTCTCTCAGTCTCTGTCATCTCTCTCCCTGACTGACATCTATCCTCACACCCTTATCTTGAAGAATTCTAAAAGACCAGGGCAAAATCCTAGTCCCTTTAGAAATATAATGAAAAGTTCAGACCTTGTAAAATCACAATTGAGTAATTGAAACATCACTATGCTTTTGCTTTACAAATAAGAAGACTCATTCTTGCTCCACAGAGCTGGTGATCCCTCTCCCATATTTTGCCTGATGAATGCTACTACTAGATGCAGCCACATTGTCTTGGAACTGTCAGAGGATCAACCTCCCATTTCCAAGTATACAGAGCCCCACCAGGGCCATCCGCTTCTCTCACCAGGAACTTGAATTTGGTGGAAAGAATGTAGAGTCATCCCTCAAGATCCACAGAGGGCTGGTTCCAGGACTCTCTCAGACACCAAAATATAAGGATGCTCCAGTCTCTTACATAAAATGGCATACTGTTTGCTTATAATACACACACACTCTCAGTTACTGTTTAAATCATCTCTAGATTACTTATAATACCCAATACAATGTAAATCCTATATTGTTGTTGTGTATTGTGCTAAGTTGTGTCCAACTCTTTGTGACTCCCATGGAGCACACCAGGCTTCCCTGTCCTTCACTATCTTCCAGAGTTTGCTCAAATTCATGTCGATTGAGTCAGTGATGCCATCCAACTGTCATCCTCTGTCACCCCCTTTTCTTCCTGCCCTCAATCTTTCCTAGCATCAGGGTCTTTTCCAGTGAGTTGACTCGTTGCATCAAGTGGCCAAAGTATTGGAGTTTCAGCTTCAGCATCAGTCCTTCCAATGAATATTCAGGGTTGATTGCCTTTAGGATTGACTGGTTGGCTCTCCTTGCTGTCCAAAGCTATATAAATAGTTGTAAATACAGTGTAAATGATATATAAATATTTGCTGACATGTGGCAGATTCAAGCTTTGCTTTATGTACTTTTAAATTGTTTCTTTTAATATTTTCGATCTACAGTTGGTTAAACCTGTGGATTTGTAATCCGTGGATTCAGAGGGCCAACTGAGTTGGAATCAAGTCATTCTGACATCAGCCTCCTGAAGCAATTTCTCTTAAGTTCTTGCCTTTGGGAATGCTGAAGCTTCCATCCTTCAAGTCTTTCTTGAGGCTTGGCTGTTCAGCTTTCTCTTTAACTCTGTGAGATATTAAGCATCCTTCACATCACTTCCATCTCTGTTTTGTAAGAAAGATTTCTGTCACTTGCAACCAGTTATCTTAACTGATAACCATATAATACAGTAAAGCTTTCCCTGTGAAGATCTTCAGAAAGCCACCAACTTGCTGCCACATGACCTTCTTGTGCCCCCTTTGGAAACACCAGGCATTAGATCCTGAAGGTACTTTGTCCTCAGAGTCTGCAAGATAAGTACTATCATCATACCCAGTTTTCAGGTGAGAAACTGAGGCTCTGAAAGATGTGGGCATCTGCCCGAGGTTACAGCTGAAATTAAGAGTCTTGGTAATCCCGTCAGTAATTTAGTGTAGCCCAAGAAAAGGAGGTTAATATAGGAAGGTGGGAGCATCTCTGGACAAGACAGCACACCCCTCCCTCCCTCTCTTTCTCAAGCATCCTAATCTGCCATTTATGTTTCCAATCCATTTTCCTGCCTTCCTCTGTAGACTGGCATTCTCTCTGCTTGTTGATTAGTGAGCATATTGCTGGAAAAGGCTGCTGCAAACATTTCTAAACAGTTACCCATTTTAAGCTTCTGCCAAAAACTGTGTTTCTGAGTTTGAAATATTGAGATAAAATCTGCTTGGTGCCTCGACAGCTGGGGTCGGCTGAAAATGTCCTCCCTCCTGAAAGGATATTTATTTCCTAGTTCCTGTAACCTGTGAATGTTACATGGAAACAGGATCTTTGCAAAAATGATTAAGCATTTGAAGATGGAAAGATTATCCTGGATTATCTGGGTGGGCCCTAAAAGCAATCATATGTATAACCTTACAGAGTGAGGTAAAACGCAGTTGGGCACAGACAGAACAGAAGGTGCAGTGAAGCAGAGATTATAGTGATGCAGCCATAAACCAAGGAGTGTTTGCAGTCACAAGAATCTGGGAGACAGGTTCTCCCCTGGAGCCTCTGAAAGAGGCACAGCTCTGCTAATTCTTTGACCTAGCTGAGTGATACTGATTTTAGATGACTGGTATCCAGAACTGTGAGAGAATTTCTGTTGTTTTAAGTAACCAAATTTGTCATAATTTGCTACAGAAGCTATAGGGAACTAATGCAACATCCAATGAGTCATTTCTCCTGCATTAGGTGTCCACTCATTGTCCAATCAATTTTATCTAGGAGAATGTTAATAAGACAAACACAACCACAGAGGCCTATGCTCTGGGAAAGTAGGTGGTATATTCTCAGAGAAAGGACACGGCTGGGAGACACTTGGATGCATCCCACTAGCACTCCCTGACACCTTTTATCTTGTAGGTGTAAGAGGAAGTGTCGGGACATACTGGGCAGCAGTCATGCCTGAATACAGCACAAAGCCTAGGGCTCTCTCTTTCCCTGTCCAAATAGGGTATGAGTTCATAAACAGAGCTCTTAACTGGGCAATGGTGAGGTGAGGTTAGAAGATGAGTTTATCTGTCTAGCAAATTCAAATAGTCATTTACTTAACGCCTCTTTTCAGTCAGACGTTGGGACAGGTTAGCACAGGCACCAGTCTAGGGGAGGATAAAACCTGCACATCCTGGACAACTGGGAGGAACATAACAGGATCCTCTAATCGTTCACTCAGTCATTTATTCAACAAATGTTTGCTGTGTGCATATGTACCAGGCTAGGTGATCTTATAACACAATATATAATGTCTTTGATTTCATCGCATGAGAAAAATAAGCAAGCAGATAAATAAGCAAAATAATTGAGCACAAATTGAGAAAAGAGCTGTAAGAGAGACTTAAGATTCTGAGAAAAAGGTGTGTGAGTTGAAGGGGAATGATAGGTGCAGTGGCAATGAGGGTTTGGAACCAGGTGTTATTTGTCGGGAGTAATGGGGCGGGGTGGGGAGAGGCGTGAGAAGTTTGAATGGAGAAGTAGGATGCTTAGGCAGTTGGATTTAAACCTGGGCCTGGGAGAAAAGGTTTGGGCAGGAAATGGGAATTTGTTATATAGAGCCATGGAAATGAAGGAAAGGTCCAGAAAAAAAGAGCATATAAAACACCTTTTCCGTGTGAACGAGCGGTTCACAAGAAACAATCTATTGTTTTATAAACAAGTTTATTGTTTTATAAATAGGAATTGCGTCGCTTCCTCCTCCTCCTTCATCCAGACTACATTTCCCAGGGTGCCGTGCGAACCGCGTGAGACCCAGAATCGTTCTCAGCCGCTTCCGGCGTAAGTGGCCCGGATAATCATGGCGACTCTCAGAGTGTCTTTATTGCTGTGGAATCTCCATGCAGGTTCTCGGGGTGCTGAGCGAGTCTATTTCCGGGCCCGCGCTCGGCCCCGGCCCGACTGCCTGTTCCAGCCTCTGCCCGGGGTCTGCGGGGCGGGAACACCATGCCGTGGGCTCTGTTCCGAGGCCGGTAAGTGACTTGCTAGGCGTCCTCTGGGGCGTTCTTCTGGGAGATCTAGAACCCTTCAGATGACGAGACCCACGCGGGGGCCCCTATTCTTCCCGTGGCGCGCCCTTAGACCCAGGCGGTTCTCGCCTGTACGCACTGTCTCGGACGTCGCCCGCGTTTGTTGATTCGTTCCGTCGCTTAAGCAGCACTGCTTGAGCTCCGCTCTTAGCTCTAAGCTAAGTTTAGGGGTTAAGGGGGACTAAGACTGACACGGGTTTTTGCTTGAGGGAAGTCATGGTCCAGTGGGAAGAGGCAGTGCAGTGTGACCTGGACTGTGATTGGGGATGGAGAGGAGTGACTGAATGATAGTCGCTCAGTCGTGTCCGACTCTTTTCGCCCGAATGGACTGTAGCCTGCCATGCTCCTATGTCTGGGGAATTATCCAGGCAAGAATACTGGAGTGGGTTGCCATTTCCTTCTCCAGTGGAGAGAAGAGTGGCACTCACTCAAACTAGGCTGGAAGGGCAGGGGAGGTTTCCTAGAAAATATGACCACAGTTGAAACTTGGTTAACGGTGTTCAAGAGAAAACAAGAAACATTTCAAGTGCAGGAAACAGCATAAGCAAAAGTCCAGAAATGAGACTGAACCCAGGTAGACTGGGAACCCATTTTGGAGGTAGGATTGATGAATTTGGTTATAACCGTGAATCTAGATATAAAAGGAGAAATCAGTATTGTTAATATTTCTCAGGTTTCTGGCCTGAGCAATTGAGTGGGAAGTAAGTCCTATTTGTACCTGGAGAGAGAAAATTAATTATAGGACAGTTTTTAGAGGGGAATGAGAGGAGGAGAAGTGAGGGAAAAGGCAGTAGTGGATGAGGTAAGGAGATGGGAAAGGAAGCGGAATTAAACATCTGTTTTGGATGCATTAAATTTGAAATGCCTTTGAAATTCAAGGGGAGGTGTCAGATATGCTGTTACATACAAGTTGAGAAACACTGGAGTAAAAATGTTAACAGAAGCTGGGGAATGGGTGAGGTTGTCTGAGGCGAGAGGTAGTGCTGAGCGCTATTGTGTGGCAGGCACTGTAAGAGACCTTGGGTGCCAGAGACCAGTACAAGACAGGGTTGTCGCCTTGGGAGAGCACAGAGTCTGCTGAAGACACAGTTTCAGTTGTTAGCTGGCTGTATATACATGAGTTTACTTCTGCACTCTCTATTCTCTTGGTCTGTGTGTCTTTTTTTATGCCAGGACCATACTATTTTGATTACATGTTAATGGCTTTAAGTCTGGAAGTGTGATGCCTCCTGCTTTGTTCTTCTTAGGATTGGTTTGGCAATCATAGGGTCTCTTGTGATTTCGATTTCATACAGATTTGACTGTTGTTTTTTCCCACTTCTGTAAAAAATGCTGTTGAACTCTCAAGAGGGGTTGCATTGAATCTGTAGATAGCTTTGGGTAGTATGGACATTTTAATGGTATTAATTCTCTAATTCATGAACACAGGGTACCTGCCCACTCATTATATGTTTTATTTCTTTCACCAGTGTTTTGTGGTTTCAACAAAGCAATCTTTCACCTCCTTGGTTAAATTTAGTACTAAATATTATATTGTATTTGATACTTTATTCCTTTTTCAGGTAATTTGTTGTTAGTGTATAGAAATGGTATTGGTTTTGGGATATTGATTTTGTATCTTGCAACTTGGCTGAATTTGTTGATCTAATAGTTTATTGATGGAGTCTTTAGGATTTTTATATATAACATCATGTTGTCTGCAGAGACAATTTTACTCCTTTTCAGTTCTGATGCCTTTTATTTCTTTTTCTTGCCTGAGTACTCAGACTAGAACTTCCAGTACTGGGTTGTACAGGAGTGGTGAGAGTGGGCAGCCCTGTCTTGGTTCTGTTCTTGGAGAAAAGACTTTCAACCTTTCCTCACTGAGTATGTTAGCAGTGTGTTTGTCATTTATGGTCTTTATTGTGTTGAGGTATGTTCCTTTTATACCTAATCTGTTAGAAGTTTAAAATCATTAATTTTGTCATATGCTTTTTTGCATCTATCAAAGAAATCTTCTTCCTTCTTCCTATGAATATGTTTCATATTGATTGGTTTGAGTATGTTGAGCCATATTTACATCCCAGATCTTATTTGATTATGGTGAACGATCTTTTTAATGTTCTGCTGAATCAGTTTGCTAGTATTTTATTGAGAATATTTGCATCTGTATTCATCAGGGATATTGGCCTGTAGATTTCTGTTAGTATCCTTTATTGATTTCAGTATCAGGATAATGCTGGCCTTATAAAATGAGTTTGGGAGTGCTCCCTGTTCTTCCATTTGTTTTGGAAGTGTTTGAGAAGGATTGGCATTAATTCATCTTTAAATGTTTGGTAAAAGTCTCCTGTGAAGCCATATGGTCCTGAGCCGGTTTTCACTGGAGGATTTTTTATGATTGATTCAGTCTTCTTAGTAGTAATTGGTCTGCTTTGATTTTCTCTTACTTCCTGGCTTAGTCTTGGTAGGTTGTATGTTTCTAAGAATTTTTCCATTTCTTCTAGGTTGTCCAATTTTCTGGCATATTGTTACTCATAATAGCCCCTTATGATCCTTTGTAATTCTGTAGTATCAGTTGTAATGTGCTTTTTAGATATAATTTTGTTAGTTTGGGTCCTCTTTTTCCCTTGGTCTAGCTAAAGATTTGTCAGTTTTGTTTATGTTTTCAAAGAACCACCTCTTTATCTTGTTAATCTTTTCTGTTGTTTGGATTACAGATTTAATAGATGACTGTGATTGATCTGTGGAGAATGGTCAGAATGGGGCAAGGAGACAGGTTAGAAGGCTGAGGCAAGAGATAGGATTGCCTTGACTAGGGTAGTGGCAGTGGGAAATAGAGAGTTAAATACTGATTTATAAGATGTAACAGGCAATTGATTTGTGTCAGTGTCCTCTTGTAAAAATGGGACTAATCATGGTATTTATGGGATTGTTATGAGGATTAAATGTACCAGGTATGTAAAAGGGTAGTCAGTACTGGCATATAGTAAATATCTAACAGATGTTAGCTGTTAACATTACTGTTTTTATTAGTGATGCTATTGACTAGATGTGGAGGGTAGTGGGGAAGTCAAGAATGACTAGGTTTCTGGCCCATGTGACCTATTGGATGGTGCTAAGGATAGGAGGAAAAGCAGGTTTGTGACAAAAGAAAAGTTACGAGTTCTGCTTTGGCAGTATTGAAGTACATGTGAGATGTCCATTGGGTAGTTGGATGGAAGATGATCTGGCTGGAGATTCAGCTTTTAGAGTTTCTAGGTAATTAATAGTTACTGAAGGTTAGGAGATAATCCATCAAGAATGTGAGAAGGGAGAGAAGAAGAATGTAGTTCAGAATCCTGTGGGACACCAGCATTTATAGGACCAGCAGAGGAAGAGGTGGTTGGGAAGGAATGGCTTCCCCCACCCCCAGTGGAAATGGAGGTTGGGCAAAGGGATGGGCATACTAGGAAAGGCAGAGCTGAGAGCTGGGTCCGCTCCTGTCCAGCTTTCTTCCATAACATCACATGGCCTCTTCAGTATTGTGTCCAGTGATCCAGGCCTCTCCCCTAACTGGAACCCCTCAGCCTAGAATTTCCTTCCCTTTTCTTCTCTGCCCTATTCAGACCCCCCAGGAAGCATTGTTTGACTCTACCATGCCTTTCTCTGCCCCCAGGCTAAGTTTAGTTTCAGTCTCTGTTATCACACAACCCCCTGTACCTCCCTTGTATGTAGCACTTACTTTGAGGAACATGATGGTAAGTTAAAACTGGTCTAGGTTCTAGAATCAGATAAACTTTGGTTTAAATCCTGGGTATATCATTTAATAGCTAATTGTCTTTAGCAAGGCTCCAGTATCCTCATATACAAAACTGGGATGTCAGTACATACTTTGTGGCTTGTTGTAAGCATTCCTGAAAATGTGTGTAGCTCCTGTCAGATAGGAAACAATTCTTTGGTTGGCAGTAACCGTTATTGTCATTAATATTGCATTAACTACTTTTTTCCTGTTGCTTCCTTCACTAGACCTTGAGTGCCTTTTTGGCAGAAACTATAGCTTGATCATCGTGAATGCCCAGTAAATTTTAAATGAATGAATTAATCTTGTAGGTATTAGCATTATGCATACTGAGGTAGAATACACATGGTGTTAATCATTTTTATCATTGGCTTTTTCCATTTAGATGTCTTGTTGTCTTGTCATTTTTGCCATCTTATTTACTAAAATTCATTTAATAGAATCTGGTAGCCCAAAGATCAAGAAACCTACTTTTATGGATGAGGAAGTCCAAAGCATACTCATCAAGATGACAGGCTTGGATTTACTGAAGATTTTTAAGCCAGCAATACGAGAAACGAAGCCACCAACTTACAAACTAATGACCCAGGCACAGTTGGAAGAGGTATGTGAATGCACGAATAGTGGTAGAATGTCTTTCTTTAAAAGATTAAACAACATTTTCAGGGTCCCTCCAGATTCTGATAGTTGCTGTTCTACAGGTACTAATGAGGGGGAATTCCAGGCACAGAACTGAGAAAAGAAACGTGGGCAAGTCTGGCAGAGAGGAGTAGGGAAGATGGCCAGAATTAGACAGACTGCGCATATGGGTCAGGTCTGGCTATCAGGCGGAACCACCTCTGCTCCAAAACCAGCCTAGCATCCTTCCTCTGTCCTCCCTGCTCCAGCCTTCTTACTGCAGAAACATTTTTTTCTGAGCTGCTTAAGGCTGAGGCTTGGTGAGATCATGAGATCCTTCTGAACAGTATTCTGTTCCAGGCAGGTGTCTTCCTGGAGTCATGGGTATTGAGTGCTTTGTGTAAAACACTTTCATGTATGAATATGTAAAGTATTGTTGCTTTTCTTTCAACTCAAACATCATTGAGAACCATAGCAGAGTTTAAATACCCAAAAGTATATAGCACATGAAGAGTGAAAGACCCCTTTCATCTCTCAGAGGTAACCACTGTCAGCGGTATGGCATGGAGCACTGTGCTCAGTGGTTAAGGGCATGGGCTCTGGAGTTAAATTGCCTGGGTTCAAATTGTAGTGCTGCAGCTTCTTAGCAATTTACTTAATATTTGTGTGCCTCTATTTTCTCTCATAAAATGACCTCTAATGTAGCGCTTAGCTCATATGGGTAGTTGTGGCATTAAAGGAGCCAGATGCACTCAGAGTATTTGAGCAATATCTGGAACATAGTAAGCACCCAGTAAGTGAAGTCCTCTGTCCTGTTTTGGGTGGCTCTTGTGGCCTGGCTCTGTCTCAGAGCCTTCCTTTGCTGTTTTGAGGGTGATTGAGCCTGTGACTGGTGCTCTCATCACAGAGACAAGGGCCAGGGTCCAGGAGCCCAAGTTTGGCTTTTCACTCACTCACTTATACCTACAGCTTCTCTCTGCAGTCTTTAGCACTTTTTTTTTAAATTAGTATCTGCTTTTGTCAGATGATCCTTTTGGTCTGTAACCTTGTGGCTTTCCCTAAGATATATTTTATTTCATTAGGCTACAAGACAGGCGATTGAGGCAGCTAAAGTCCGATTAAAAATGCCACCAGTTCTGGAAGAGCGAACACCAATAAATGATGTGTTAGCTGAAGATAAGATATTGGAAGGAACCGAAACAGTCAAATACGTGTTTACTGATATATCATACAGCATACCACATCGAGTAAGTATATGTCTAATTGCAAAATGATTCTGCCTAAGTTAGATCGACTTCAAAAAGCTCAAACTTTTTGAGAAGATGGAAATGCTTGCTGATGCCCAAAAAGCTCAGACTTCCCAAAGGATTTTCACTTTTCAGAATTTGCAGTAAGAATATCACACTTTCCCAGATAATTTTTAGGCACCACTTCATCTGCTATAGTTTTTATTGTCTAGCTCCTCTTCCCTTGATTGGCAGTTCCAAAAGAACACTCTAGCACCTATAAAATAAAATATATTAGTTTTGTGTTTGAGCCTTTTCAAGTAATGAGTGAAAAGAGTAATTTACATTTCAGCCCACAAACTGAAGTAGAATATTGAATAGTGGTAGGGCTGAAAAAAGGGCCACCCTGTGCTAATCTTCTTATCATATTGATTACGGTTAGAAGACACGATGTGAGCAGTGTCCATGTCTGTATGTCAGTCACCTGTATATCTGACATAATGAATGGGATCAGAGTTTCATTTTATTAGAATTTTTGCTTTGGAATATTTTAATAAACATTATACATTAGCAGTGCTGTGAAGGCTGGTTATGGGAGCATTCTATAACCTGAAAGGGAGAAAGGAACTTGGAATTCAAATTGCCAAAATCCGTTTGAGGAACAATTGTGTTAGTTTACCATCTGCTCTTTTTTTTTTGTTTCTGTTTGCAGTGCTTGATGAAAGTTTTAATTATATTATCCTCGAAATACATTCAGAGACTCTTAAAGTTCTAAAGAGTTGAGAGTCACTACCATCTGGTTAATTTAAACATTAATCAGATATGTAGCATTTATCAGCTGTGTGCAAAGCTCTGTGTAAGTCATTCTGGGTTTTGTAAAGAACCATAATCCAGTTCCTGACCTTTTCTAGTTTTGAAACAACGTTAACAAGTATCTAAGAGGTGTCAAGAATGCTGCCTATGCTAAATTAGATTGCCAGTTGAGTAGTACAGACAGTGGGTGGAATTCACCCAGTGGTTGAAGGAAGCATCCTTTGGCCTGGGATTTGGCAGTTAAGAGAATGAAGAGACCAGAGGCAGGTGCACCAGTCAGTCTCTCTGATGCATTTGTCTCTTGCCAGAATGAGGAATCGCAGAAGTGTGGAATTAAGCTTCCACATTCTTGGGTTTATTCCATTTATCCCTGTGCCTTTAAATGTGGACTATAAAATAGTCAAGTCTTATCTGGGTGAGACTTTAGGATGAGGAAACAATTTAAAAAGGTTTATAGCACTTCTTTTTTCTGAAATAGATTTAGATGAATCTCAAGTCAACTTTTTTTAGTTGAACCATTTTATGTATTCATCTCACTTTAGGACTGTAGTTCACATTTAGTAAATACTTTCATTAGATTTCTGATTGTCACAGGCACTGCAATGATTAGTGAAGGAAGTATCAAATCTTGCCAGATCTGTTACAATTATTATTGAAATCATACACGATTGCATTTTGTTTGCCAGTTGCATTTTTTTTTTTTGCCAGTTGCCTTTTATATTGATTGCAAATTATTTTTATAATGGTGCTTAGTGGGACACTGGAACTAAAATTCAGCTCTCACTAACTTATCCTTGTGTTTTCTATTTCAGGAGCGTTTTATTGTTGTCAGAGAACCAAGTGGCACACTACGCAAAGCCTCTTGGGAAGAACGGGACCGTATGATTCAAATTTATTTCCCAAAAGAAGGCCGTAGAGTTTTAACACCAGTAATTTTCAGGGAAGAAAATCTTCAGGTAAGATGACTTTGGGGTCATAGAGGCAGTGGTGATGATTTCTTTGTTGAACCAGTTCGCTCTGGTGCTGCTAGGTATTTTGCTTTGATAAATACAGGCATTTCTAATGATAAGTAGGGTCATTTGTCTTGTAATTGGGTTAGCTGGGATTTGAATCCAGGTGTGACATGTGGCTTGTGTGTGGTTTCCGCATCCCTCGTGCTGGGCGCAGATGTGGCCTGTGTGTGGATGGGCAGGGTTGTCATGGCGTCTGGACAGGTGTTGCACTTTCTTTTCTTCTCATCTAATTCCAACTCTGCTATGTGGATTTAGACCATGTACAGTCAGGACCGGCATGTTGATGTCCTCAATCTCTGCGTTGCCCAGTTTGAGCCAGATTCTGCTGACTATATCAAAGTGAGTATATTTTATAGTTTCTAAAGTATGGGTGTAAGTATGGTTACGAGTAAGATTTTTTAGTCCAACACAATGAGCTAGGTTATAAGCCTCGATACAGGGGGAGGAAAAGGGAAATGCCTGAACACCTGTCGAGTGCTGGATGTACACCAAATAGATATTTTCATCCTTTCAACAACCCTTGACTTAAGGATGAGAGAACTTAAGCTTAGAGAGTCAAGTAACTTGTTGAAAGTTGCACAGCTAGTAAGTGGTAGAGTAAGTACCCAAACTAGATGGCAGAGATTTTTTCTTCAGTTTATTGTATAGGAAAGTTATTCCTAAAGTTTGCCAAAATGCAGTATGTGCCTTACATTGCAATTTAATAATCATATAGTACTTTCTGTGTGTAAGGTGTTACTATGGAGGTACAGGTGATGACATGAACTAGGATAGGGAGCCTTGTCAAAGCTTGCAGTCCAGGAAAGATCGTGGGGAAGTATAATCACCACCATAGGTCTAAGATGTTAGGTGCCAAGAGAAGGTTGCAGCATGCTCTCAGAGAAGGCCTAAGAGGGCTCTACGAGGATAGGGAACATTGTGGCAAGTGGATGGAGAAGTATTTCAGGTAGAGAGAAAAGTACGCACAATAGGCAGGACACAAAAGTAGACTTGAGAAATGGCCAGTCATCTGGTTTGCTTGTATATGTGGTGAATACCTAGGGAAGGTGGTTCAAGATTAAGCTAGAAAGGTAGATGGGGCCATATCACAGATGACCTCAGACGCTAGGTTGACGAATCTGGACTTCAGTCAGCAGCCTTTTTAATATAGGAATGCCCTCATCAGAGTCCTCATTTAAGATCAGTCTGGAAGAACTGAGGAACATTAATTAGTAAGATGGAATGGGATAGTTGATTGGATAGGGGAAAGAAGTGGTGGTCCATTATTCCCACTAGTCCATATATATAATAGGTGCTTCATATATAGTGCATGGCTGCTGAAGAGTAATTGATCTGGCTATAAATGTCTGGCAGACCTGTTCCAGGTTCCACACACTTCTGCAGTGGCAAGCTGTCCTTAATGATACCTTCTAGATAATGATCAATAGTGGATGCAGGATCAGGAGACCTGGTTTACTAATACTTTCTTGGACAGCTTGCATGCTAGTAGATGTATATCCAGTAATGCTGGCTCACTTTTATTTTTGTATTTCTGAAAAATTGCATTTTGTGTGGATAGATTCATCATCAGACCTATGAAGATATAGATAAATATGGAAAGTATGACCTTTTACGTTCAACAAGACACTTCGGTGGTATGGCTTGGTATTTTGTAAATAAGAAAAAGATCGATGGTTTATTGATTGACCAGATTCAGAGAGATTTGTAAGTATGATCTTATTAAGAAATTCTCACTACCATTACAGTAAACCTTTATTTAATCTATGTTATTTTTCCAGTGATAACAGTGTACTGCCCAGTGATAAGGGCTTCCCTTGTAGCTCAGTGGTAAAGAATCTGCCTGAAATGTAGGAGACACAGGAGACATGAGTTCAATCCCAGGAGTGGGAAAATCCCCTAGAGGAGGGAATGGCAACTCACTCCAGTATTCTTGTCTGGAGAACACCATGGATAGAGAGCTTGGTGGGCTGCGGTCCATGCGGTCTCAAAGATTTGGACACGACTTAAGCAGCTGAGCACATGTGCACGCCCAGTGATAGCTTTCACTTATTTCAGTTTATTTATGGATTTGTTTTTCCAGTATAACCCAGTTTTCTCAGTCTTTGCTTCTGTGTCATGTAAACATGGCTAGATTCTTTGAAACAGTAAATGGCTCTGGACCTGTGCTGTGTACCCTGGATGTTGACTTATCCGTAGCCTTGCTGGTGCTTCTGGGTACCAGTGAACTTGCCAATGAACAGGGGGATTAGACAGGAAATGCAGAGAAGCAGACATAAGGTCTGCTGGGTGCTTTTCAGTAAAAGTCATCATTTATAAAAATACTCCTGCTTTTGATCCTCCTTGTTTTTGCAAGATTTTTAAGGTGTTAAAAAGGTTACAGGTTTTTTTTCAAAGTTGAATAAAACAAAGAATGTCTGTTGTATTTTAGTGAACAACTGGTGTGTGCCCTGCCTTCTAGCTGAAATAACACTTTATGATTTGCGATGACACTAAAGAGAAAATTATCTTTTGAATATCTTTCCATTGGTTGAGTCAAGGTCAAAATGGCAAGGAAAAGAAACAAGCATGGCTGTAGTAAGAAGGTCACAGGAAGGGTTAGTGATTACTGTCACCTTGAACGTAAGTTTTGACTCAGTCTATCTATCCTCCATGTAATCTGAACCATTCACACAAAGGCAAGGCATTTGGAACTAGAAAGTTCCATATTGTCTTAAAAAAGTCCATATGGAAACAGCATCATTTCTCATAGAAACATTCATAATGGGAAATGATTTCCAGGCCAGCCCTCTTCACCAGCATGTGTGGTATAATCGTGTAATCCAATTCAGAGGGCAGAAATATGCCTTCATCCCACATAAGCAGGAGGCTGCTGGTGATCATGAGCATGTTCAAAAATGACTTGCCTTTAGGTGCATTAGCCGTGGATGAATTTAAAGCTTCTCAGCTGTAAATGTTCTGAAATTATTTAACATTTTTTGTAAGAAATTAGAGCAACACAGAATGTATGAGTTATTTATTAAGGTGTACTCATAAGTTATTATGGTAATACTTATCACATGTAAGCTTTACATCTGAAGCATTTCATTTGCATACTGGGAGGGAATTTTGAGTACTTAACCTTTCCTGCTCTGTGTAAGTAAAACTTCTGTGGGAATTCTCAGTAGGACAGTTTGCTGCAAATCCCAGTTTAAACAGTAGAGGGTGCATGTGCTTAGCTAATGGAGCCCATGCCAGAATTCTGCACAGATTTATTTCATACTCAAGTTCCACTGTTTGTCTTGAATTGAGGTGCTTTAAAATCTTTTTTACATGGGGATTTACTTGCTTTTCATTTCAAATAGAGGCTGGGCGTGAAGCTAAATTGTTCTGTGAAACAGCTATTATACAGTAGTATGAACGTAAAGAAGCCCTGCTGTGACCACGATATAGAAACCCAGTTAAGCTCTTTATGGACTCACATGCTTATGCTCTTAAGAGAATGATTGTTACCTTTTGTTGCCATGTTTGTTGAACTGTTAGAGTAGAACAAACACAACAGATTCATAATGAACATTAAACAAATAGTTTTCCTCTGGAAAGTTTGATTTCTCAGCTCTGGTTTTCTGTTTTACCCAGAGATGACCTTTAGGGTGAACGGGCTTTGGGATGAGCCCCGAGCATTTCTCTAAGGTCACCGTGGCTTAAGAAACTCTTTACCCCACTCCCACTCCACTCTAGAAGGGCTTTGAGATGGCAAATGGTAGGAAGGTGGTGTTGACTGGGTGAGAAATTAGAGGTTATTTAGTTTGGGGAAGGCTAAGTTTTAATGTTGATAAAGATTGTAGGTTTCTCAAAAGGTTAAGTACAAACTGTAAGAACTGAGCTCTTGTTCTGGCTTCATCATGGGTAGTTGTCTGACAAGAGACACAAGACAGACTGCTGAGGAAGAACCTGAATTCTCTTGTCTAGAGTGCATAATTTCAAATTTGCTTCCCTAGGATGCTGGTTTTTAACTAATGGGAAACTGTGAATTGACAGGTAGCTTGGGAGTCTTTCCTTGGACTTCTAGATGCCTCTCAAGAGGCATTTATCCATTAATTCAGAGTCTCAATGAAAATTCCTCAGCAGATGTCACTGCTGGTGCACCTGAAGGCAAGTGGCACTGAGCATCCCCATGTCCACCAGCCTCTGGCTTACGTGGGATGACAGTACTGACCCACCCTCTGAGTTGTGTTATTATCTGCTGGTGATGTGGGCCGGCCTGGAAATCATCCAGTGTTAGAACACAGTTTCTATGAGAAATGATGCCCTGCTTTCAGAAAGGATACAGCCACGTTTTGAATATATTCACTTTCACAAACTGGGTACCCGCCTGTATTGATTCTTGCCCTGTGAAGCCTAAATTAGCCAATATTCCTGAAATTGCTTTGAAAATATGAAACTGAAGGCTGTAAAAAAGGTTTTTTTTCTGGCCCAAAGTTTGAAATGTAATTTAAAGATCAGCATATACTTTTATAGAACTGTGAAGCCAAAGAAGGAAACTATAAACTAAAAAATGTAAAAAGAAAATGAAAACAACAAACCCTTTTAAACAGTAACCCTTTCCCTCCAGAGTTGATGATGCCGCCAGCTTGGTCCAGCTCTATCACATCCTCCATCCTGATGGCCAGTCAGCTCAAGAGGCCAAAGAGCAGGCTGCTGAGGGATTACAGTTAATTAAGGTAAAGGGACTTCTTTCACATTCATTATCATGTAGTGACTGAGTGAAGAAATCATAGGGTTCGATCCCTGGGTCAGGAAGATCCCCTCGAGAAGGGAATGGTAGCCCATTCCAGTACTCTTACTTGGAGAATCCCATGGACAGAGGAGAGTAGAGGGCTACACGCCGTGGGGGTTGCAAAAGAGTAGTACACAACTGAGTGACTAACACACACAGATTTGTGGTCTTAAAGCAGAGTGATGAGAGCCCCGTATTGCTTCAGCCTGGACAACAGAAACAGCTGCCACTGGAGTCCAAGAAGTTCAGATAGTGGGGCGGCCGCTCAGTGCTCTGTGGAGCACACGCCACCCAGCTCGGTCACATTCCTGTCCACGTTTCCAGAAGCAGGGAGGGTGGTGCGTTCTCATTGCGGAACTGTAAAGCTCTCAAAACCATGGGCTTACACAGATTTCTCTGTAAATGCTGAGGTGAGGAAACCATTGTATGATTTTCATCTTTTCTAATGCTCGGAATAGACATGTATTTGTGGATCTGGCTTCTGTCCCAGTATTACTTTATGCTACTGCAAAGCAGTTACAAAGCTTATTGAGGATAAAAACAACCAGTGATGACATTATAGGTGGAGTAGGAAAAGCCCATTCTTTAAAGTGAAAAATCATCTTGCTAACTTTCATCCTCTGGATTTCTCTTGAAGCTAATGCTTCTCATTTTGATCCAGCAATGTCAGGTTTTCTTAATTTTTTTCTGAAAAATGACAATCACGTTTGGAAACTTCTGGTGTTTGGAATTAGGTTGCTTTAACTGTAATACTGTTTTTCTGTCTATGTAGTATGCTTATTGTTTGGTAATCAAAAAAATACTGTGAAATGTGGAGGGCTTTTTAAACTGGGACTTCACTAGGAACTTTATCAATAGTATATTCTCTATTTTAAAACCTTTTTTTTTTTTTTTAACTTTAAACAGGTCTTTGCAAAAACAGAAGCACAGAAGGGAGCATATATAGAATTAACACTGCAAGCTTACCAAGAAGCATTCATTAGCAGTTCTGCAGCTTCCTAAAAATACTGTTTAAATAAACTTCATTTTACTAAATTCTAGCTAGTTTTCTGTTAATACTGAAAAAAATGCCAAAATTGAGAGTTCCTTATGAAATTGCGTTTTAGACTCCAAATAGTACCTCTATCAGAAATACAAAGATAAAACGGTTTATTCCACTCACTTTCCGAGGCCATGAGAGGATAACTGAGAAGTATATTTAAATACCTGGTTATGAATTTCTCTAATCATGTCAGATGAGTACAGCAGAAAATGAAAGGAAAAAAGTACTATGTCTCTCTGTTACCAAATGAGTCAGTTGGTAAGTTAAACAGAGCCCAGCTTAATGAGGTCAGGAGAGCTGATTCTAGAAATAGGTACTACCAGAGAAAGTCAGAGGAAGGCATAAGAAAGCTACATAGGATGAGGGGAATAATGCAGTGAGGTCAAGGGAAAGAGTTTAGAAAATTATAGCACAGATACTCAGTTCTAAGAAAAATATGAGTGATGCTATTTGAAAATAGTTATTCAAAAAGAAGAGAACATGGGCTGATACCTAGAAGAGGTGTAGTTTTGGCTCAGCCAAACTGGAATCCTGTTTTCATTTTGCAGAAAGGAAACTCTGAAGTATCTTCATTAATTCAAAAGATTTTATGAGATATGGTCCAATGACAGTATGAAAAAAATCAAAGCCCACAGCTGTTTTAGTTAATAAGGGAACAGTGATTTAGATGCTGCACATAAACTCCTCCAAAGATGAAGGCATTCTGTTCCTAGTGGGCAGCAGCGTCTACATATAAAAAAATTAAGGAGTTTCTCAGAGTCCAAAGCATGGTGGTCAGGGTGATGATCGATACCTGTCCATAATAATGATCTGTTTAGTTAAGTAAACGGGAAACATTATTTAGTCGTCCAAAATATCTTCATCCAGGTTGATATCTGTTGTGTCAATATCTTCTAATTCCAAATTATCCAGATCTACTTCCAGCTCAAGTAAACTCTGCAAACAAAAGGAAGAGGGTGAGTTAGTTCTATAGTACTGTGTTAAAGAAAAGTTACTTGTGATTCATGATCCAAAGAGAACTAAACCAACAGTCAGAAAGGGATATCTTTCCATTTCAAAGCCCCTGCTCTGAAACTGATTACATCACTTAAAACACAGGACTGCACAGCTAGCACACATTCACGTGGAGAGAGGGTGAGGCTGGGGTCAAATGGGAAGCTGGGTATGATGTCAATACCTTCTCTTCTTTGTTGGCTGTCTGGGAGGTCACAATAACAGGAGTAGGAGAAGGAGGTTTCCCATCAGGTTCCTGAAAACCCAGGTAAAGATACAAGTAAAAACAAATGAATTTGTTTAGGAATTCGAAGTTTTTCCCAAAGGGAAGGCTGGTCGGGATTAGGAAGTGGGAGATGGTACTTAAAATCAACAAATCTCAACCAGACTATCTTGTGTCTACTGACCTGCTGAGCTACAGATCTTGAGGGCTGAAAGCCTTTCGCCTCTTCCATAACATTTCTTTCTTCATTTGGCTATCAGGGAATGAAGCAATGATGAAATGAAATATTCTGAAAGCATAATTCATCTATGAACTCGGCCCAAATCCCAAATACTAGCTCTCAATCAAACCAGAACGTATGTGGTACAGTTTAAAACCTTAAGTCGTGAATGCCCTTCTACTTGTAGTTATACAAAATTAGGCGCCCCAGGCACTCACTGTGACAAGTGGGTACTGTTTGGCCGGCCACAGGTCAGCATGCGTTTCCTTCACCCATTCTTCTACAACAAAGGCTTCCTTTAATCCAGGGAAAAGGTTTTCATATTCTGTTGGATCAGCAAGGGATTCTGCTGCTTTCTGATTGACTTTTGAGAGGTTTTCTCTCCAGAGTTTCACCACCCTGTTACAGATATGGAACCAAAGGGAGACTGGTAAGGACTCTGAAGTTTTTATCTGAAATGTTTCCTCCCAAAATGAAAAGTCTGTACCTTGAAACCTGACTGGGTAGGTAAGTCCGTGCCAGGAAGGCAGCTTCTGGCAGTCGTCCAGTTCTAATCAAGAGCTCCAGGCAAGCATCAAGCCTACAGATTAGAGGCACTGTTACCAAGAATAAACGCTGTAATAATGGCACTTAGCACATTAGAGAAATGTGGATTTAGTGCTGCAAAGTCAGCATTCCCTCTCCAGCTCCCATACCTATACCTCTTTTCTGTCACTGAGCCATTAACTTATCACCAGTGAGCTACATAATGGACTCCAGGAACATGAGAAATATGACAGCTTTTGTGACCATTTTCAATCTAACTGTCCTAGGCAGACAAAAGGGGCTTTTTAAGACAAGGTAGCTGAGATGAACACATTTAAGGACTTCAGGAGATACAGAGGAGAAACTCAGTTTTACAAGTATATTATTGAGGGTAGCATCTCTAAGATGAACAGTGCTGGACAATGCAGTTGTGCCCAGTAGGAAAGTATCCAAGTGTCCATTTTCTTTATTTCAGTTTTTTCCTGTGTAAGTTTGATAAAGTGGATAATGTGTTTTACAATTAAGAATTTTTTTGATTTTAAAAAGGTAATACTTGGATTTTACAAAGTAATATGCCATACATTACATAACATCCTCAACACCAAAGTCACAAATGTTAATATTCTGCAAAAAACACGTGACTACTGAATACAATAAAAACATACCAAGTGGCATAAAAACAACTAACAAGAGTTCAGGTCTGATTATGCCACCAAATAAAATACTCTCTTCAGAATGTTTTTGGGTTTTTGAATTATTGAGAAGAAATAGCAGACCAGACTTCCCTGGTGGTCCAATGGTTAAGAATCTGCCTGCCAATGCAGGGGGGACAGGAGTTCAGAAGGATTGATTCCACATGTTGCAGGGCAACTGAGTCCATGCATCACAACTATTGAAGCCCCGATGCTCTAGAGTCCCTGCTCCCTAGTGAGAGAAGCCATCAGAGTGAGAAGCTAGTGCACTGCAACTATAGTGGCCCCTACTCACTGCAGCTGGAGAAAGCCCCTAAACAGCAACAGACCCAGTGCAGCCAAAAAATAAATAAATAGTGGACCTATTCTTGTTAAGTCGCTCAGTCGTGTCTGACTCTTTTGTGACCCCATGGGCTGAAGCCCACCAGGTTCCTCTGGGATTTACCAGGCAAAAGTACTGGAGTGGGTTGCCATTTCCTTCTCCAGGGGATCTTCCTAACAGAGGGATCAAACTCATGTCTCCAGCACAGGCAAGCAGATTCTTTACCACTGAGCCACCGGGGAAGCCCAGACCTTTTCTCACAGGTATATAAATGTATGCATACATATGTTATAAAATACATATACATTCAAAGTTTTTATGATTAACAGGTTTAGAAAGCCTGTAAGGCAAAATTAATGCTTTTGCATTTTATTTCATAATATGGTCAACTAATGAAATGATCTGATATGCACTAACTGCTACACTTTTGAAAATATATGACATTTTAATGCTTTAAATGCAAATCTAAAAGTAACGAGAATCCTGATCCCCCTTATTTTTTGTTGTAAACAGATCAGAATTATTCAATTCGGGCAAAATCACCTGCCACTCAGGTACCAAATGACAGCCTCTTGCTGTCATTAAATAAAATACTTTAGCCAGGAAGTGGCAGGGCTATTGAGAAAGGGGTTTAACATTTCTCCCAGTTGAACTTCCCTGAAGCTCAACTCTGCTCAAACATTTAGACCAACTGTGGTAAAAGCATCCTTTGCTGAAGCAGCCCTGTCCCCCTGCCTGCTCCTACCAGCAATACCCCCTAGTCAGGCATCAGTGCACTCTCCAGGGTTTCCTCTTCACGTTCCTCTCCAAAGACCACCCTCAAAAGTCAATGCAGACAGTGCTTCTCATTACTCTGCCCACCTTTAGACCTTAGGTTAATACTTACTTGCCCTGTAAAAAGTAGCTCATGAATGCCACATTATTCTTGCCATCTCTCTCTGCGCCCTCCGCTAGCTTGTTCACCATACTAGCATTACCAGAGGCGGTGGCCAAAAGCAACAGACCCCCATAGTCCTGTGCATGATGCAGGCACTCCTGGGCTAGGCCAAACTGGCATTTACTAATGGCAAGTTCAGCAAGCTGTTTCCACTTCTGTTCTGACTGTAAGAAAGAGTTTCCACATTAAAATATCTTTTAAATAAACATCTGAATTTCCAATACCAACATTATTCTGTTAATCTGAACATTACTGTGCTGACAATTTTATATTTTCTATAATTGTAAAATGCTTGTTTTATGTTTACTGAGCTGTGCTTGTTAAGTTGGTTCTGTCAGTCAAACTAAGAACGGAATGACAAAATATATAATGAGGAAATGGAAATTATTCACATATACAAAATTAATTCAAACACAAATCAATTTTAATGCTGTATGAATAATCATTAGCCCATTATATTTTATTTTGTAATTATATAGTGAAACTAAAACTAATAAGTTTTAAGGTAATTAGATTGTAATTTAAGGAATGATTTATAACCATTTTTTAAAAGAATAGAAAAAAGATTTTATGTCCTTAAATATTTAATAATAAATATTATTTCTGTCATTGGTAGCTTCTCAGAAATCAAATAAAATGCTGCTCATTTGGATAATCTTAACACAGCTAAAATTTCTTTAGTACATCTGAAATGAATTTTACCCATAAAAGCTAGACTGAAACCATAACTGAAGCCCTATATGATCCATAAAAATGTCATTAAATTGTCTCAAAATGTCAGAATCCTTCTTTAAAACCAACATCTTCCTCACTAGTTTGGATTACTGACACATTACTGCTGTATCTGCATTCTTTGAGAGTTCCAGATTCCTTTATCTACTATCTTCCAGCTTTTCTTCTTTTCCAAAATAGATCCCATGTAAGATTAAAAAAATAAAAAAACTTTAGCTTTAATTAGAATGCTAAGAATATATTAATAATAGAGAAGTAACTAATCATTTTTAAAAAGACCAAAGAAAGGCAACAGCTTCACTAAAATGAGTTACTAATTTGCATTTCAGAAAACTTTAATAACACAACTTAAACTAAACACATACAAGTACCTACTGACCTTTCCAAAAAATCATAAATTAGTACATACCTCTGCTTCCACTGCTAACTGGTATGCAATTTTTAGTTCTCCAAGCTGAAGAGCAAGTTCAAAGCGATGCTCAGGGTCTGTGGATACTGTAAGAGCTTGCTGCTTGAAGCCCTGAACAGAGAAGATGTATGTGTGTGTTTATGTACAGCAAAACCTGTGTGTGTAATCTACATATACAGTGCACACACATGGCAAATAATCCATTTTCCCCTCAAAACTAAATATGCTGCTGACATTGGAAGCCCCGTTACTTAAACAAAAGTAACAACAACAACAACGACTCTTCAATATGAAGACAGAAAAATTAAGGAGCCGTTAAATCAACTGCTAAGAACATACAGGGCAGACAAAATTCAGCTGCACGCCTGTTTTTTAAGCATGAACGCTGACCAATGCTTGATAAACTCAAGTTAACAACTAATAAAATTTAGAGGTATAAAAGTAAACATCAAAAATGATTCTGGAAAGTTGACTGAATGAGAACCATTTCAAAAAAAAGGCACAGTAGTGTACACCTGCTACTGCTAAGTTACTTCAGTCGTGTCCGACTCTGTGCGACCCCACAGATGGCAGCCCACCAGGCTCCCCCATCCCTGGGATTCTCCAGGCAAGAATACTGGAGGGGGTTGCCATTTCCTTCTCCAATGCATGAAAATGAAACTTGAAAGTGAAGTCGCTCAGTCGTGTCAGACTCTTAGCGACCCCATGGACTGCAGCCCACCAGGCTCCTCCATCCATGGGATTTTCCAGGCAAGAGTACTGGAGTGGAGTGCCATGGCCCTAGCTGTCTGTAATTGCCCAAGCTGAGCCTCAGAGATCTAGTCCTGGGCCTCACAGAAAGGAAAGTCAAATGTAAAACTTTACAATTTTCAATCATCTGCAGGTCATTTATCAAACATTTTGCTTTCAGGTCCAGACACTGATTAGGTGTCATTACCTATGCCTTTACTGTTGGGCTCATGTCCGGTTTACTCATCAGCAAGTATTCCAGAGGGCAGAAGTCTAAAACCTCCTTCCCACGCTCCAGTCAGTCATCAGAAACAAGATTTTAAGCCAACCACTATAATCACTACATTAGCTTCTCCCTCAAGACAGTACTGATCAGGTCTGCCCTATGGCCAAGTTCTTCAGCTCCAGGGGACTGGTATAAATGAGACAAAAAGTTCAAGCTGCAGAACACTTTCTCAGACTGAGGGTGAATGCTCTGTTAGGTCAGGATGCAGAAACTGGACAGTTTTGTCTCACTAGATAGTCAGCATGGCTGTATCACTGTGTTCAAAATAAGTTCCCAGACTATACAAGCTGATCCTGCCTCCACTCACTCCTGAGTAAAATGTAACAAGGAATTCTGAATAATCTGCATTACTCCTTCTCTCCCCGAGCACTGATGCAGACAATATACAATCCAAGATTGGAGGATAGACAATCTATAGAACTAGTCAGATGTAGGTGAGGGCAAAGCAAATGAAATGAGGTGGATTATATATGTTTACTTTTGTTTTCCTCCAAATCCCCACTGAAATGACACTAAAGGGATTCCTCTTTAAAGCACAAACTCCCAAGGACACATAAAAGGCAGAGAAGAAATCAGTATTAATAACAATACTTTGTGAAGCTTAAAAGCTGGTGAAGGAGTTAAACTCACTGAAATAAACATTCAGTTAAAACACTAGAGAAGACTAATCCCTAAATCAGGAGTCAAGACAGCATAGAAATAATTCACACCTCAGCAGTGTCTCATGAAGGGCAGTATTAAAGCCAGTAAAGAAATCAAACTGCCTAGGTCTATCTAATAAGCAGTTAAGACACCCCAGGTCCTCACGCTTCCCCCCATCCTCTCAACACACATGGAAGACAGGAGGCTTGTTTTCTAGAGAAGGTAAACTAGAGGGTCTCCAGCCTGAGGGATACTTACACACCCAGAAGGAATACTGAGTGGCAAAAGGAAAACAGGAGATTATGAGAATGGACACTTAACTAAATGTTTGAAACACTAAATACTGAGACACCAAGCTGTACTCTACCCCCCTCTAGAATGATGGTGATTGGGGAGCTTCTCTGTAAACTAACCAGTCAAAGGGGCTAGACTTAAAATACTAAAATGTCAATGAGGGTTATATGCCAGCCTGAGCAGTGCTTGGTACAATATTAAGTGCTCATTAAATTTACTAAATGAACAAATTCATTAGATGAAGATACTGACATTGAGGTTTCCCAATCAAACGGCCCAGCCACATCACATATTTTAAGTTCATACTCAATAAGTTCAGCCATAAACTCAGATCTTTTGACCTGCTTCTTAGATCTCCACTCTTAAATAAGTGCCCAAGGATCATCAGACACCTGAGGAAAATCTTTAAAAGGAAAGACAGAAATCAAACCAATAATAGCAGAACCAGTAACAGTAATCTGAAGAAAGCATACCAGTAAGGGAAAAAGAAAACTTCAACTATCACTTATACCCTAGCAGAGCGTATGAAGAGAAACTTTAATCCATAAACAAGATTTTAAAAGTCCAAGAATAACAAAATGAGAAAACCAGTGCAAGAAGTCCAACATCTGAATAACAGTTCCACAGAGAGAATATGGAAAACACAGGAAGGAAAACAACAGAAACATGATTCAACAAAATCTCTCAAAAATGAAGGAATGAGCTTCCAATTAAGAGAGCTCATCTAATACCCAGCAGAATGAATGATAACTGACCCCTAAAGCAGGGCCCACCATCATGATAACATTACAGAACAATAGGAACAAGATCCAAAAAACTTCCAAAGAGAAAAAATAGATCAGGTACCAAGAATCAGGAATATAAATGGTTTAGACTTCAACAATAACTAGGAACTAGAATGCAAAATAGAATTTTTTCTTCAAAATTCTGAGAGAAAACTATCTGCAACTTAGAATTCTATATCCAGTTAAGTGGCCAAATATATTCTAGGGTAGAACAATGACACTTTCGGATATTCAAGGTCACAAAAAAATTTACTTCCTATCAATAAAAAGCCTTTTCTCAGAAAACTACTGAAGGACATACTCCAGCAAAATGAGAGAGTAAATCAGGAAAGAAGATAGGGGATATAGGAAACAAAGGCTCAAGCCAAAGAGAGGCCCCAACATGATGGGCAGGGGATACCCATGATGAAGGAAAGAATCAGTTCAGCCTGAAGTAGACTGAACACACTGAAAGGAGATAGCAAGGGAATCTGGAAAAGCAGCAGAGTAGGAAGAATAACCCTAAAAATATAGAAAAATAAGCAAAGTTTAATAAAAGAATCAATTATTAACTCAGGGAAAACAACTGAAAAAAGGCAAAGCTATAATATGGCCAGCTGTGAACAGGGTTTAAATAGTCATAGTCATATAAACAATGGATACTGATCTAATCAAAATTATGATGTAATGATTTAAGTGGCATGTATGTTGTTGAAGTAGGGGGAATGAAAGAAAGAATAAATTCTTCATTTTCTACAGTCTGGGAAGTCCCAAGAAATACCTAAAACTGAGAAACAGTAATATAATAAGCATGTTAGACATGTGGAAATAAATGCCAATAGCCAGCTAAAAGAATTAAAAGTGATTACCACTAGGGAGTAGAAATGAGAGAAGGGAGAGGGCTGTTTTCTCTTAAGCCTTGCAAAGCTTTATATTTTGTGCACATACATAACTTGGATTTTAAAGCAGCACTTTTCAAAAAAGTCAGAAACAACCGAAATGTCCACAGATAGAGGACTAGATAAAGATGTGGTACACAGATACAATGGTACACTACACAGCCATAAAACAGAATGAAATAATGCCATTTGCAGCAACATAGATGGATCTAGAGATTATCATACTAAGTGAATTAAGTCAGAAAGACAAAGGCAAATATCACATAGTATCACTTATAAGTGGAATTTAAAATATAGCACAGATGAACCTATTTAAGAAACAGAAACAGATTCATAGACATAGAGAACAGATTTATGGTTGCCAAGGAGGGGAGAGCGAGAGAGATGGACTAGGAGTTCAGGGTTGGTAGGTGAAACCATTTTGTATAAAATGGATAAACAACACCCTACTGTATACCACAGAGAACTATACTCAATATTCTGAGATAAACCACAATGGAAAAGATTATAAAAAACAATGAATATATGTGTGTAACTGAGTCATTCTGCTGTGCAGCAGACAGGCACAACACTGTAAATCAACTATGTTCCAAGAATAAACAAACTTTGATTATAAAAATGCTACTTAAAGGAAAATGCCCATCGCTAATGATAAATTTTATGTGTATTTTACAGAAAGAGAGAAGCTAGCTAGGATAGAGAAAAATACAGCATAAAAATGAAAATACTGATAGAATGTAAAAGAAATCTACAGAAAGGGAAGACTAATAAATCACCTTCAACATATAAAGGGGATTTGAAGGACAATGAGAAAGGAAAAGGAAGTATATTAACAACTGACTTAAATTTGTAATAGAAAGTCCACTGCCATAAGGAAATCAGTGACAATTAAGAAATAAAGTTCTTCAAATTCATACATTCTTTCAAACTGCTGACTTTAAAAACACACACAAATAAACAAACAACCCCCCCTTACCTGCTTTTCCAAGAAGTGTGCAACTCTGGTCCTCTGCTCTTTCGGGATGGTTGGAAGGACCTTATCGGCCATGCTGAAGTCCCTCCGCATGACGGCCGTCTGGTACTCCAGCACTGAAACCAGCAGGGAGTAGCTAACGATGTTCAGTTCCTTATCCCCCAGATAAAGCCTGTTGTCTTTAGGAATATAGCCCAGGAGATACATCGTCCTGTAAGAGAAATTTAGAATTTAATTTAGAATTAAGCCCGAATCAGTACATACTCTTTCTCTCCCTCCCTCACTCTGCCTCTTGCTCAAAATCTTTTCATTTGATTGATGCAGTTTTAGTTAGCAATTCAGTTCAGTTCAATCGCTCAGTCATATCTGACCCTTTGCGACCCCATGAGCCACAGCAAGCCAGGCCTCCCTGTCCATCACCAACTCCCGGAAGTCCATCCAAACCCATGTCCATCGAGTCAATGATGCCATACAACCATCTCATGTTCTGTCGTCTCCTTCTCCTCCTGCCCTCAATCTTTCCCAGCATCAGGATCTTTTCAAATGAGTCAGCTCTTCGCATNTAATAAATATTTCATAAAATCTTCTAAGACACCTCCACCACGGTTTATCTTTATATTGGAAAGTCCATTTATTTTTTAAAGAATAGACTCTCTTATTTTATTTTTTAAATGGAGGAAAATTGCTTTACAATATTGTATTGTTTTTTGCAGTACAGCAAAGTGAATCAGCCATAATTAATATATATATCTTCTCCCTCTTGAGCCTCCATCCCTTCCCCACCAAGTTCTACCCATCTAAGTCATCACAGAGCACCAGGCTAGGCTCCCTCTGCTTGAAAACCCATTTTAAATAACTCGAGCTAAACTGTCTTAGGACCATAACAACTTCTAACTTTCTTACTGAAAAACAGTCAAAGTTGGTCTAAAGATTTCCTATAATCAAAGCACAAATTTCTTTTAACAAATACTTTCAAACCCTGATCTTTGAGCCAAGACTTTAATTTTCACATTTTACCATAACTCCTTAAATGTTTATTAAGTCTTTCCAAACCTAATTTATAATAAAATGTTCCAATGAGTGAAGTTCAGCTGTAAGTACATAATTCATTTAAAAACAAAGCTAAAGTTTTACTGATGCAATTACCTCAAAACCATCTTCAATGCCATCTTCAGTAACTCCTTCATGTGTTTCCTGTGCAGCCAAGACTTTTTCCGACAGATATTTAAGGATAAAAAATGACTCCTCAGTTGCAATACAGACTAGCTCTCCAGAGTCAGACCAGAAAATCTGCGACATGACAAACAAAAACACAGATAAATGATTTTAGAGTCTATGTGAATGTGACAAACTGCATATGCTGTTTCCTACAAGATTTATCTTCTTACATCAGGATAATAAGCAAGCACTTAATCTGATATATACACACACACACACACATTTGGGAGGGTGGACAGGGCGCTGCTATTTTATTTACAGAAATGGAAAGCCCNAACGGCCACCTAAAGTTTAAACAGTCGTTATCAGGTAACATAGGCAAAGGCTTTCTGAACTGCATGGGAGACTTGCAGGTCTTGCCACGCCAAGAACTCAGACTTTTCCTCTTCAAAGCATTAAAGCCATTTAAAATACGACTAGCATTTGGCATTTGTACAACTCTTTATACTTTTCAAAAAGCCCAACATCTACTGCCTTATTCAAATACTCCAATCTTCCTTTTTAAAGCAATCCTGAGGTAAATGGCCCCATGTCCAGCACAATGGGACAGGGACAGCAGGGTACCAGGGTATTTCTTGGCCTCGGGGACCCAGAGTTTGTCACAAAGAGGCATTCCAAAAACAGCAAAGACGGAAGCTCACGTGTTTGGGTTGAATTTCAATTCTGCGTATGAGTTCGGTATTTTCCCAGTCATAGAAAGCTAAGCCATTTACAGACCTGACTCCCAGTAAGAAGCCTCCGTAGATACCTACAAAGAACAATAAAATATTTTCAGATCTTCAGATGTTTTTGAGCCATTACAAAGTTTCTAAAATTGTATCATATATAAACAGCACTTACTTTCAGCTCCAAAGTCTGGTTTAAATGATTTTTTTTCCTTAAAGTTCTTAAATATCTTTACAACACTGTTGCTCTCTCTTATTGCGTATCTGGGGGGAAAAGGAAAGCAATCATAGCCTATTACATATATACTAAACTGTAATTCCACAAAATATTACAAATATCTTCAAATGTACTTGAGTAGTGAATTACACAAAAACATAAAATTAATATCTGAAGATTCACTAATATACTTTTTTTTTCCTAAGAGATCAGTGAACTGCTTACAGTTGGACAAATAATGAATGGGCTTCACAATGTCTACTACACAAATTACTAGGGCTTACAAACCATTTTAAAAGATCCAAATGTCCTTCAGCAGGTGAATGAGTAAACCAACTGTGGTCTATGCATACAATGGAATACTACTCTGCCAAAAAGGGAACCAGTTATTGATCCATGCAACAAGTTGCTGTTTCGTTGCTCAGTTGTGTTTGACTCTTTGCAACCCTATAGACTGTAGCCTGCCAGGCTCCTCTGTCCATGGGATTCCACAGGCAAAAATCCTGGAGTGAGTAGCCATTTCCTTCTCCAGGGGATCTTCCCAGATAAGAGATCAAACCCACACATATCCTGCACTGCAGGCAGATTTGTTACCGCTGAGCAACCTGGGAAGCCCATGTAACAACATGGATGCACCTCAAATACATTATGCTGAGCAAAACAAGCCAGACAAGTATATACCACACAACTCCATTGACGAAATGCTAAAGAAGACAAATCTAACCCAGTGGGGAACAAGGGTGGGGTGCTGACTATAAGAGAAACAAGGGGACTGTTTTTGAGGTGACAGAAATGTTGACTGTGCTGGTGGTTATAGGTTACATCCATTTGTCCAAATTCACTGAAAGATACACTTAAAACAGTGCCTTTTATTTTGTATAAATTATTCCTCAATAAAAAGTAACAAACAAAAACTTTTCTAAGTGGCTCACTAGTCAGTCATGCTTAGCAACAACTTAATAAATTGTGTATACTCAGGCCTCTCTCTTGAAAGGGGGCTATGGCTGGATAATTAAGAGTATATGAGAAAGGGATGGAACAAGTACTTTGCTCCAACAGGAAAGATGCTGAACAGGGAGGGTTTGGGCTGGATAAACCTGAAAAGAGGGAACTATCAAAACAGAGGGAGACTTGTGCTGAGAGAGGTATGGCAATTCACGAACTATAACTGTGCTCATGGTAACAAAGTACTTTTTAGTATATGGAATTGTGCATAAATGAGTTTATTTAGGAAACTGATGAAAAGATCTTACCTCTCACTGACCTTTTTGTTAAATACTAAAAAGCACGCATCTTACTGAGAAATGCTGAGGCCTAAGTTACCCACTGTTGGCAGAAGAGGCAACACAAAATATGGAGAAAACAAAACCAAGAAAACTGTGAAGATGTAATTCAGTGTGTAGTCTGGAAAAAACCAAAGCCCCCATGTTTATTACATGCACCAAATGAATCAAAAAGGAACCAGTCAATAACTATCTAGTATAATATTGAGAGGTAGTGTTTTTAGTGAGACAATTTTATGAACATTTTGAATTCAGACAGAATTTGTTAAGAATGGGAAACAAGTAACATCATGAAAACTCATTTTTGTGATATTTTATCACAGATTCATTACGTTTTTATCATGATTACATTAAAATCTAGCATCTCTCCAAGTGGCTCAGATGAGGGCAGCAGCAGAAGCTCAGGATGCAGGTTCTGGGGTGGGGGTGGGACCTGCCAAGGTCTTTATCTGAGGGCCTACTCTGCCTTCAGCCCTGCAGTGGGCTCCATCAAAGAAAAATAGGTGTTGGGTCCCCAGTTTATTAGTGAGCCAGCTCCAAACTGAGTATAAAAAGTTAAACAGCTCATGCTGCACACTTGCCCCTGACTAATCCTCCAACACAGGTCTGGTGAGAACTGGTCTTCAACATGGAGAAGCACAGCCTACTGAGCCTTGCAGACCTCTTCAATACAGCTGCACACAGAATGACCACTGGCAATCAGGGGCAGCTGATATGACACAGCCAAAACTTACTCTGAAGAATCGTGGGCCCACGCGAACTCCTGGGCAGACCCAAAGCTCTTGTTCCTCAGCGCCATCGCCGTGTAGATGATGTACTCGCCGTCACCACATACCACAACAAACCTGCAAGTCAGGAAAGCCGGGTGGGAGGACGTACAGAGGACCAATGACATGCAGGAGATAAGAAACAATGATTTATCTTGTTTCTAATATGGTGAAATATTTCTAATAACAAACTTATTTCAGTTAACTGTTACAAATGAACCTAATATCCTTTAAAGTTATATTTCTTGGAATACAGAGCTAGACATAAATATTACACCCAACAAATCAAAAGCAGATTATGAAGATGGGGTTACTGCTGAAAATATTAATAAAATAATTTTTAAAGCTTACACATTTAAACTCATTGTATGAGAAACTTTTCTTTCACAAGATGTTCAGTGCTTTACAAATCTTAAGGGAGAAACAAAGCTGAGATACAAATTACAGAGAAGAAGCAGAATTATTACCCTTCCCAAAACTTTTTCAAAAGACAAAGACCTCACAACTCTTCTTAAGAGCAATGAGTCTGCAAATATTTAGAGAGCACCTACTAAGTCTCAGATAAGACAGGATTCTTGCCCTTGAAGGAGCATAAAGACATGTCATAAGGATGCATACCAACACATGTGAAATAGAGTCAACACAAAACTATTCCACTGTTCACAACTGTGTAGTGGGAAAGGCCAGGAAGGCAATTATGCTTCACCATGCATGCAGACAAGATCAACAGGACTGGCTGCCTGCAACTGTGTTGAGGACTGTGAGGCCAGGGCAAAAGCTCAATGAGGAATGCGCATCACAGGGCAGTGCTGGGACAAGCTGTGGATATGCAAACACACATAGATGCCCAGAGGGAGATTCTGGTGGTAGCTTACCGCCCGTTAGGATTATGCTGAATAGTCTGAGGGTATATTTCACAACTGCCCATATCTTTTACTGCCAGTGGCAGTCTTTCTCCATCTTTAATTTCAGCATCTCCCATTGCTTTTAGGTTGGCCTGCTGGACTTCTGAATGTTTGGCCCAGATTATCTTTCCATTGGCATCCATGGACATGGCAGGTTCCTCCCGACCAAGCTAGAGGAATGACAAATGACCTTTAGCCGCAAAAAGGAAAACAAATGAAACTACAACAAAATAAACATTTTCTATTTTCATTTAATGGAGGGCTCCTTTCTTCCACTTAACTCTCCTCTACAGTACCTAATCTCTTTCAGGTACATAGCTCAATGACAGAGTGCCAATTTAACAAAACTGGTGACTTAAAAGAAAACTGCTCCCCCTGTTTACCCCTATTCAGAGACGGTGGAATGAGAGATTACCTTAACAATGATGCTCCCTTCATCATAGCCCAAAGCAACGTTATTGGACCCTCGCAGGCTGGCCACACACCATACTCTCTCCATTCCATAATTCAAAGTACTCTCAAGGCGATAGGTGCTTGAATGCCAAATACGCACGGTTCCTGAAAAAACAATGTGAATAAGCCATTTGACTTGAATACCCAACAATGAACTGTCAGGTGAACCAGCCATGTGGAAGTCTTTATATTCAAACACAACACACTTCCTAGAAGCTTCATTTTTGATCTGTAGTCTGTGACTTTATAAAGCAACATAAACATATAATAGAAAGTGCATAACAAGCTAAAACAAAGAAATATAATTTTTATGTGTGAAATAATGACAGGATTCCTGGGTACAGTGCCTACTACATGCCAGATGCTTTCTATGTTATTTCTCCACATCCTTTCACTACAATCCTATGAGGTAGGTATATCTATTCCCATTTCATAATGTACCCAAGCCACACATCTATGAAGTGGCAGAGCCTGAATCTGATCCTGGGCTTTTAGACTCCAAAGCACAGGCTTTTTCCGTTTTCTGCTAGCACTTCTAGGTGTCCTCTTATGTACCTAACAGAGTCAAAACATATCAGAATCATGATGATGATAATGATAATAACAACATCCTCGTACTGTTTTATAGCTTAAATAATCTACTCTAATAAACAATATCAAAATCTTTTGAAACTTCCAATGAAAATGCAAGGCACTAAGCTGGCTTAAATATCCACTTAGCAATGAATGATAAGCATAGGAATAAATATACATTTCTAACTTACCATCTTCTGAACCTGTGATGATAATTGGCAGCTCAGGATGAAAACTGGCACAAGACACATTTTGGGCATGTCCCTCCAGTGTCTGTACACAAGTTTTGTTCTATAGTCAATACACAGAAAACACTCTCATTAGTGGGAAACAATAACTCATCCTTAATTTTCCCAGAGCACAGATACAGAATCAATGGTAATGGTCATAACAATCTAAATAGTATTCAATACAGAGATTTTTGAAAGAGAATCATCTTATTGTGTACATGTTTTCTCACTGATGGTACAGACAAAAGTGACTATCATATTTAAAGAAGAAAACATACACACACCCTGAAAGAGTTGGTTTTCATCTAAGTATCAGTCCCCCAATTTCCTAAGATGTCTTTAATGTTTTCATCCTGTATTTAAACACAGATTTGAGTATCTCACTATAAGTGGTTTTCTAGGCCTCATTTTATTAAATATTCGTGGTTATTCTGATTTGAGAAACAAAAATATAAAAAAGTAAAATTTTGGAGATAAAAAGTGTAGTAACAAAAGTTCATAACCAGGTTTACAAGTCTATGTGGCAAAATGATAGCACTATTGTGATGTCTGACATTAGTCACTAGTATGCTAGTTTTGAAATACAAATGGAAGTCTGCCAATGAGGATACTAAAGGATGCAACAATTCATTTTAATTAAAATCTTGAAATTTCTCATTTCTAGTAGTAAATGAAAAATAAACATGATGGCATTTTATTTTTAAAATCTTAATAAGCATTTGTTGTTATTTTCATGAGGAATTCTGAGACCACAGTTTAGGTACAATTCCTGATGCCTTAACTTATTATGCCCAAAACAGAGTTCAACAACTCAAGTTTGAACTGTCCTATAAGAAATAGTGAGAAGTATATCTAACGTAAGGCAAGTAAGCTATGAAAAAACTGTACCTGATAGTCCCATATTTTCACAAGACGGTCATCTGCTCCTGAGATGAGGTATGGCTTGTCACCACCACTGTAGTAATCAATGCAATTCACGCCTTTTTCATGTCCCTCCAGAGTGAAGTTTGGTGATGATGAGCCCAGCTGCCACACCTTCAGAGAGCAATAGCATCTGCCAGTCAACATGGGGCCTTCATTTCAGAAGGCAACTCTACCACACCCCTGACAGTCAGAAATGCCAAAGAACAGGAGAGAAGCTGAAGAATGCTCATATTTTTAACCCACTGGTTTGGGTTCTTTCTCACTTTACTTAAATTTCCAGGGGGCAGAATCACTATGGCATTCTCTGAAATGCCAATTTCCAGGCTTTATCCTAAGAGATTATGATTCAGTGGAACTACAATGAAGTTCAGGAATCTAGATTATCAACAGACACCCCAGGTGTCTTGACTTTGAGAAACACTACTTTAAGGGTAGGAAATGATGTTATGAGAGAGTTATTAATAACACAAAGCTAATGAAAATGGACTTAGTAAGATGTATTAAAAGGAGAAAATTACTGCTTTAATCAAAAAATTAAAAGTATGAAAAAGCAGTCAAATATTACTATAGCACTGCTATTGAGCTTTATCTTTACAAACATTTATTTTGTATGAATACTACATGGGAAGCCCTGTGGGTGGTATAAAGGTATGTAAACAAACTTTACTAGAGCCAAAGGTAAAACAATTTTGTCCTTAGGCTATATTTAATTTAGTGAACAAAGTTTGAAACTAATTTCTAAGTTTTCAACCTATGTCAAAAGCAAGGATAATTCAGTAAAAGAAAAAAAATAAAGTAATTCAAAGCCCCAAGATACTCAACATGTTCCATTTAATAATAAGTTGTCAGACAAACAGAAGATAACATTTTATATAAGTTAAAGGAAAACTAATAAAAATTTTATATAGATGTAAGCCTATTCATGTAAGCAAAGTTAAATCTATGCATATAGAAATATTTTAAATATTATAGTGGGAAAAGGAATATATTTGCACTCACTGCAACATGTATTAAGCATCTATACAGACAGGGCACTGTGCTGCTTGCTAATGTTTGTCTGCTTGTGGGAGGAGGGTAACATACAGTTCCTGCCCCAAACATCAACATTTCAGGAATAAAGATTTCCCATTATTATTCAACAGGAAGACCATAATAGAGGCCAAAAAAAAATGAAAGGAATGAGATGAGAATGGCTCTGTCTAGGGGTGAAATGGATGTCTGAAGGGAGCTTCTCAGAGTAAATAACTGCTAAGCCTTGAAACATGAGTAATTCTCCAGAGGAAAAGAAATCAAAAAGGGAGAATAAAGAATACTGTAGGCAGAGGGACCAGCTGAATGAGGTAAGGTTCTGTGAACATTCATGGCTTCTCGAGAAAATGGTGAGGAGACCAGGTTTACAGGAGATGTCTCGTAACATTAGCTAAGGTTGGTCTTGGAAACCCTTGTATTCCACACCAAGGCAACTGGACTTTACCGTTAGATTGGGAACTGATAAGACAGAACCCAGGTTTTAGAAAGATAACTGGTAGTGGTATGGAGAAATGCAGTAAGAAAAAGAGAACGGAGGCAGATGATATAGATTAATAATCAGCAGAAAGCAGCAGCAAATACACTAAGAGGAAAACAGTGACTTAGAGAAGACAGGCATTTTTTTACTCTGGGTTTGCAGAGGTTTAAAACTCTTATAATATATTGCTTCCACATGGAAAAACACCCCTCCATTAAGAGCACTGAGTTGCTACACCATTTTTCTAAACAGAATATGCCCTTCTGAATCAAAATAAGAAGTCCTATTTTGCTTCAAAATGAGCTTTTGAGAGAAACTTTTCAGATAGAAATAACTTTCTGGGAAGCCAGCAGTAAAATACCTAACACAACTATATCTCACCAACAAGCATAACTGACACAAACAATGGGCACCTTACCTTGATTGTCCTGTCCAAAGAAGCACTGGCAAACTGGTTGTTATCTTTAGGGTTGATCACAATCTGCATTACATAATGGGTGTGTCCTTCAAACACTTGTGAGCAAGACCATTTTTTATCCCAGTCCCAGAGTTTAATAAGCATGTCATCTAGACCAAAAGAAAGTCTCCAGTTAGTTGCAATTTCTATTTCTTTCATTCAGAACTAAGGTGCAGAATCTCTGTGCCTTTTTAAGGAAGAAAATCTAACACAAATCATATATTCCATGACTTACAGACACAGAATCAGAATTGGACAGATTTTTCAAAATGCTTATTCTAAGAATAATTTTAACTTTCTGAAGAGTGGAGATAAAAGAGATTACTAACAGCAAATATACAAATTTCACGGAAAAATTTTAAAACAGACTCAATGGGCTTTACAGAATGATGAAAGAGCAACATAAGTTTAATTAGAGTCTAAGTATGACTGAATAATGATGACAATGATTATTTCAGAAACAAGCATTTCTCTTTTAATCAGTTCAGTCACTTAGTCATGTCTGATTCTTTTCAACCCCATGGACTGTAGCACACCAGGCTTCAATTGGTTAAAAAAAGTTCTGAATTACTTCTCAATTTCTAACTTAAAAATGTTTCAAAGAGCTATTACCAATTCAGTGCAACTTGTTCTAACTGCCTTCCAAAAAGCTCCACAGCTTCATACATAATACCAAGGTGCAAAGTAGTCTGAACATAAAGATACAACTGACTAGAGTATATGGCAATCTGCCAAAAACTCACTCACTCACTCACTCAGCTTTCTGTTCAGCAGATGTTTCAGCATCTAGACCTTCAGGTCTTCCCTGACAGATTTTGGAGCAACTGCTACACAAATCTTAAGTAGAGCTGATATTCATTAAAATACAAAAGCAAGCAGCACTGATAGCACGTTAATGGATTTAAATAGTTTAAAGGCTGCTTGGAATTAGAACTCTACTTGTAACAGCAGTAAATGAATTGCATGTCTCACTAAATGAAAATGAATTACTCAGGGACCTACATGACCAAAAGGGGTCATCTCTTACCACTGCTGGTTAGAATGAAAGGCTGGGTTGGATGAACAGCAATACAGCGAATATAGTCTGAATGTGCCTCAAACATATGAACTCTCTCCAGAGTGTTGTAATTGAACACTCTAATCTGCATGTCATCCTAGAAATGGAAATTTAAAAACCATTATTACTCTTATGAAGTAAATTGCACAAAAAAAATACTATAGGCTCAAGGTATAAAGTCCAGACTTCAAAACACTGCACTAATTAACAAAAGAAAGCCAGAATCAAAATTCTGCAACTCATTTAGGTAATCACTGACCAATTCAGAAATGGGATTAGAAATTCATATGCTAAAAAAAGAAAAAAAAAGAAATTCATATGCTTAACTTACCGCTCCTGTTACAACCCAATTCTTCCTTGCAACAAACTTTGCAGCTCGGACAGGAAGATCACATACTTCAAATGTTTTCACCAGTGTCTTAAAAATGTAACAAGAACACACCACTTTGAGTTATGAGATAATAACTGAAAAATCTATTCTATTTAAAACATCCAATTATTTAGATCACTTCTAATCTTAAAAATATTCTCTAGCTAAAATATAAAAGCAGTCGAATGGAAAACATTGACCAATCATCTTTTCTTTAACAGATTCAAACCTAAAATACTTATAAAAGAAAAAAGAAAGCAAATGTCCCCAAGATGAAGTTCCCCATCCTCTGTGCTCCAGTCCTTCCCTAGTTTTTCTAGCCCCATTCTTAGCTACTCTCAGTCTTACCTTTGCTCCCATTCCCTCCACCTAAAAACCCACCCAGAGAACCTTATACTCCACTTTCATAACATAGCACTTTCATAATTACATGTTTAATGTCAGTCTTTCCTGCTAAGCCCCCTGAGGGTGGGAATCTTGTTCACCACTGTATACCTAGAGCCTAGAACAGTGGATGAAAAATTACCCATGTGTAATAAGTATTTATTGAATGAATTAGCTCTTAGTTTTCTTCTTTTAAAAATTAAGCCCATAAACTCATAAAATAAACGTAGAAACAATATACAATTTTTTTGTATACTTCAGCAATATACTTCCATACAGAAGCTGTTCCTTTTTAGTGATGAATTAAGTGATTCTTAATTCTTCACAGTGATTAAGATGTTCTTTAAAGCTGCTCAGAATATAATTATATACACAGGATAGAAAGCTGCTCAGAAAAGAATTATACACACAGAATAAAGGTGGAAAACTAGAAGACCGTGCCAGAAAGAACAGCAATGAACGCATTTCTTTGTCCTCCCACTTTGATGCTTTGTTCTTTAAAATTCTGAAAGTCAAACTATCCCTTTTAAAAAATTATTTCATTCTTTTTTTATATATATAATTTATTTTTTGGCTGTTCTGGGTCTTCACTGCTGCACAGGTTTTTCTCTAGTTGTGGAGAGTGGGGGCTCTTCTTTAGTTGTTGTGCATGGGCCTCTCACTGTAGTGGCCTTTCTTAAAGCAGAGCACAGGCTCAAGGGTGCACAGGCTTCAGCAGTTGTGGCACATGGGATCAGTAGTTGCGGCTCCTAGGCTCTGGAGCACAGAGTCAATAGCTGTGGTGCACGGGCTTAGCTGCTCTTCGGTATGTGGGATCCTTCCAGATCGGGGATCGAATCCATGTCTCCTGCATTGACAGGTGGATTCTTTACCACTAAGCCATCAGGGAAGCCTCAAACTATCACTTTTCTATATCTGTTTCTGTACTAGAGAATAATGAAAAGAGCATATTCTGATTGATTAACCATGTGTATCAAATTTAAATATAGGAACTGGTTCATAGGAACTGTTGAGCCCAATCTGGCTTCCTGAGCAAGACCTCAAAGATTCTTCAGAAAAGACTGAATAAGTGGGGACATGAGCTCCAACCTGCACAACCATTACCAGCTGACTGTGATATAGACACGTGAGCAGGCAGAACATGCAACCTACAAGATGACACGGTAATGCACAAAAGCTCTTAGTTCAGTTCAGCTCAGTTGTTCAGTTGTGTCTGACTCTTTGTGACCCCATGAACTGCAGCATGCCAGGCCTCCCTGTCCATCACCAACTCCTGGAGTTTACCCAAACTCATGTCCATTGAGTCGGTGATGCCATCCAACCATCTCATCCTCTGTCATCCTCTTCTTCTCCTGCCCTTAATCTTTCCCAGCATCAGGGTCTTTTCAAATGAGTCAGCTCTTCACATCAGGTGGCCAAAGTACTGTAGTTTCAGCTTCAACATTAGTCCTTCCAATGAACACCCAGGACTGATCTCCTTTAGGATGGACTGGTTGGATCTCCTTGCAGTCCAAGGGTCTCTCAAGAGTCTTCTCCAACACCACAGTTCAAAAGCATCAATTCTTC